TAAAACCATAGAACTCAAAGAGGGTGTACTTTCTTTTTCATATGACTGTATGTTGTTACTTTATAACTGATCAATTGTGTGCAGGACTTAACATTAAGATATAATCTGGTAATGTTAAAGGGAAACCTGTCAACAACAGAATGTAACTACTAGTGCTGTACTGAATTCATTGGGAAAAAAATCAATGATTGCCACACAGCTTCTTCCACTGGATGGTTAAAAATATGGTTGAGGCACCATGAGAATCACATCTGCTGGCCATGATAAGTGTTGCCTGGCTTTAAAAGAGAAGCTTATATAGAGAAATGCTTTCTTCTGAAATCACATGCTTATGTCTTAACAGTTGTATTGTATTGAAAAGCTAAATGCATCTTTCTCCTATGTCCAGGTTTAAAAAATTCATTCCAGTTCAAGCTGATTAGAAATGATGCAACATAAAAGTGAATTATAATGGCACCATAGTAAATTCACAGTTGTTTTTAAAAATTGCTTTGGTTTATCCAGTCTAGCACAATGACATATTAAGTCTGAATTGTATATCTGCAAAATTTTTCCATAAATAATAATTCTATCAGAGATGCAATTCTGGCAGCATCTTATAAAAAGAATTAAATACCTAGAAAAATAAACTTGCTTCTGAAGTCCATGTCACAAACTGACCATTGAACTTTTCATACTAAACTTCATAGTTTTCAAAAGCTGTGCAGTATACAAAGATCTTCAAAGATACCTACCACATAAATTACTAACTGCTGATTTTAGAGCCATCTGTAATGACAAATGTATTTGCTTTCATCTTATAGCTTTTTAGATGCTTATCAGTACAAGCCCCATAGACGACTATTTTCAGTTATTTTCTGAATCAGCTACAATTACAATAAAATTAAACACTGTTGTCTGTCAATTTCAGTGAGAAAATTAAGCAGAAGCATAAAATTGTCCAGTTTTAAAAAAATGGGAATATAAGTGTTTATCAGTGCTCACAGTATTCCTTTAATTATCTTCCCAATATGTTGCAGATGAACTAGGATGAAAAGGGACCATCTCAATCTTTCTATTATGCCATGTAATTCAATTTATCTTTGTTGCCAATAATCCTACATTAATATAAACTTTAAAGGAACAGCTGGATGGCTTCTGTTTTTAGGAAGTATGTTAACTTATTTATATATAAGCTAGGTTTAGTCCATGTCTCAGTGATGTCAGTGTCAAATTTCCACTGATTTAATAAATATAATAGAAATAATCCCCAATAAATTCAATAAATAGATAACATTGAACATTGTCTACTGGAGTTTTAAAGTTACTAATAATTTAGGCTTCAAATGTAATTACAGTAGACACCTATTATTTGAATATCCACACAACTGTGCCACTACAGTAGGCACAGTATATATATACATGAATTGACCAAAAAGAACTATAGTCAATGCTGATTGTAACATTATTGATTCCAGTTCACCAAGAGAGAAGTATGGATAAAAGTATGCTTGGAATCAATCCTATTGACACCATAATAAGGATGCGGGGAGATGAGAATGGCTCGCTTGCACACATGCCAGAATGTGAGTGACAAACTACACAATACCTAATCAGAACTTTTGTCTTTGACAGTAGTAATCATTTCCAATTCAAGACAAGGAGAAATGCCAGAAACTACCGTCTCCTTTGCCAATTTAACAAGTGATTTAATGCTGCCAGAATTTTGATACTTAGGACATACCTGTCAATACTGAAGTGAACCTACATTTTCCATATTGTGCAGATGGAATACTGTATCACTGCTAAGTCTATTTATGAATCACATCCTACTTATTGCCTAAAAAGCTAAAATAAACATAACTTTTAATGGGACGACTTTCCATATAATTCATGTGGTTCAATACAATGTAATTGAATACCAAGGTCATTATGTGTATATACTAATATATACTAATGAAGATGTAGAACTCCAGATGCTATGAAAGTTGCCATTTACTATAGAACAGGGGCCAGATATCTGCACAAATGCCTTGTGCATATAAAGTTCCTCCATTCCTCATATAGACATAGATGAAATATTCCATTCACCCAAGCATAAAAAGGCCCTAAATGGGTCTTTTAGTTCTACAGAAACAAACAAGATCTTTGGGGGTGGGGGTTAATACAGTTTGAGTGATCAATAAAAGTTTGCTCATAGATATTTTAAGGTCCAAAAGACAGACAAAATTAAAACACAAATAACAATGCCATCATTTTGAAAATCTCATTTACAGTTGCATTTCTTCTGTCCAATTCAGTGAATGTCCTGTGAAATCACTCATGGCCTTTAAATGGTTTGGCAGATGGAGCTTCAAAGACATCGTCTTCCACGCTTTCTTCAATAGGTTTCATTTTGGGTGATGTTCTTAAATAAGGAGATGGTTGGCCTGCCAACATTTTCAAAAGGTAACCATTTAAAAACAACATGATATTTTAAATAGTGTACAACAGTAATGAGATATTCCAAATATTTTTTAAAAATCCTGAAGTAATTGAATGATTTGGGTTAGACAGTATATTGAATGCCAGAAATAGAAAAAGAAAATTAAAAAAGAAAATTAATTTCACCTATAATCCATTCTGAATAGCTCTTCTTGCGTTCCAGAGTATTATATAGACCGTCCTTCCACAATCTAGTGCCATTCACATGTACTGGAACTACAGTTCCCAGAACTCCAACCCAACATGACATCAAGATGAGGAAGGTTGAAAAATGATGTTCTAAATTATGTTTGAACTTGTTTAAAATGTATGAAACAGAAGATTTAATTTAGACAATGGTATTCTGCTACATGACCTAGTGCTAGTTTGGGAGCATTAAGTGTTTACATTTATTTATTTATTTATTTATTTATTTATTTATTTATTTATTTATTTAATAAAATAAAAAGCATCATAAAAAGGCAAATCTGTAGCAAATATCCCAACTCCCATTCCCCTTGGCATTTAAAAGAAAAATACTGTTTTCAACATTTCCTGCCCAGAGCAGCATTTGGTAATTATTACAAATTCATATCAAGAAGCAGTAAAACAGAATAAGAACTTACTCTGGATTAGTAAACAAAACAGTGTACTGTACTTTCTGATAATCTTTTCAGAAGCAAAGATTCATGCAAAACAGATAGGAAATGCAGTAGATTAAGTTTTATTTACATTTAAATTACTTGTACAATACATGCTCAGAATCTGCTAATTGTTATTAGCTCTTTTTTATTTTTTGAAACTTTGAACTTTTAGTTACTGGACACATTCAATATTAATAGAAACACAGGATATAAAATTGAATGAATGAATAACTATTTGATGAAATACTGTCCCATCATAGTCCTATGCCTGTTTACTCAAAAGTAAATTCAACTGAGCTCAGCTGAACTTACTCTCAGGTAAAGGCACATAGGATTGCAGCATTAGACAATAATATTTTTAGAACTTTATGTGTTATTGGTTAACCATTGTTTCTGATTTCTATCAGAAATTGAAACAATTCACCCTGTTATTTAAATTGCACTTCTAAAGCCATTTACTTTAAAACAACCTTGAATTAGGTTACTGGAATGCGTTTTAAAATGTTAGACAGAGTTTGGTCAGTTCCTCCAGATTTGAGTACTGTATACATCAACTGATGTCAGAAAAACCCATTTTAAAATGTCTCCTCAATTTGTAGTGGAACAAAGTCTTGCTCCCTCTCCTTGTGGAACCGTAGTTCCTCTAGGCTTTCTGTGCACAAACACCTTCCACAGTGCTTGCAAAGAGCACGCAGTGTCTGGGCATTGTGACCCTGGAGCTGCACAGGGTTGAGAAGGAACACATGTTCACGGTAATTACATAAAGTGCATCTGTTTGATGGAAGGAAAGTTTCAACCATTCCCCTGTGGGGATAACTTCACATGCAGATAACTGCATAGCTGTGCATGAAGAAGGTCTGTACATGATGCATTTCCTTGCTTCCTGCAAAAACTGGAGTCAGCCACATTAAGATGTTTCCTGTCTTGCTAGCCAGATATGATCCTTCGTTAATATTGTCTGAAGCACCACTGTCTGGAAAAGACTTTTCACCCCTTCCCTCCCATGAAATGCTCATGGAGCACACAATGAATAAAGTACAATGAATAGATACTCCTGTCTACAGAGAGTATACCATATGGAATGGATGTACTAAGTAATAAAAGTGGTTTGGTGGTTATGTATAAAAGGTACAAGCGCAGGACTCTGCATACTTTCATAGCATTCAAAATAAAATACTGTATCCTCTCTCTTTCTAGCACCAGCTAGAGCAGGCTGCCCAGCTTCTTGAGGGCTGACCCAGGTTTTGCAAGCTATGCCAAAGGCCTCACTCAAAAAGTCAACTGGCCACTTTTTCTGGTAATATTTTTTAAATGTTTGCTTTTTTTAAGATTTTAAGCTTCATTTTTTTCCATCCTCATAAGAGTTTGCAATAACCTGACAACCTTCAGTGTGGCAGGTCTTTCTATTAACGTGTGTATGCATGCTACTTGTGTATATAAGTAGATATGTGATAGTTTTGTTTTTTTTTAACAGAAGATGGAAAACGCCAGAGTAGATTAAGCCCAGTAGCAAAAAAGTGAAGAAAACTGCCCCAATTTTTGGAGAAGCTAGGGATTTTTTTCAAGGAGTATAATGTTGGGATGTGCTACAGTTCAGATTTATGCTCAAAGGGTGCTTTGGAGTGGGCGTGAACATCGCGCCTATCAGTGCTTCCTTAAAGAAGCTGTATATTTTCTTGGCCTGGCACAGAGTCACCATATGATCCCAGAAAAATATACATGTTTTGAGTTCAGGAAGCACCAGCAAGATGTGACAAGCTGCAGGAGGCACCAACAGTTGCATCGTGTGTGCCTATACCCCCTCCGAAGCAACGTTTCAGCTTTGAATCAAAACCTCAGCATGTTTGTAGTGCAATGGGTGGGCCCCTCAAGCTTCATTTCATCCCTTTAAATCCTTCAGAATTCCAAAAATGAAAAAAGTTTCAAAAGCTTAAGAATCAGCCACCCTGTGGAACACCAGCTGCCACCGAAGGGCTGTTAGTGGACTACGTGCCACCCATGGGCCACAGTTTTGCGGCCTCCAAAGTAAGCATAAGCACCAGCAGCAGAAAAAAAAAATCTATTTTAGGTGGTCTAGTGAGGCATAGACAACATGTCCTAAGATACTTCCCCAATAATTACCTGTCTGGAAATGTTGGGAATTGCAGCTCCCCAGATGGGAAAAGCTGCTATAAGTAGTTACATCATTCCTACTGATCTCAAATTGACATTGCAAATGAACATGATATTGTGACCACGAAACCATGCATGGAAACAGCATAAATTATTCTATGAATCTCTAGATTATACATACAGCTTTTGTATGTTGATACAGTCTTTAAGTCTGCAAAACCAAAACCATCATTTCTCTCAAGTATGTGACATTAAGTCCATTTCATGCCATTTTTGAAAATGTTGGTGAATACAGTATGTCATGCTATTGACAGAAAACATACTGTACATTTGGACCATAAGGATTCACTCCATAAGCATGACAGAATCCTTGTTGGTTTATTTTTTTAAAACCAGAGTCAGATTTGCATCAATTAATATCACATACACACATGCTTTTATTAATGGTAGTTTTAGTCCTATACACTCTTAGTGTAGAATTAACTCTTAGTGTAGAATTAATTAGTGCAGAAAATAGTGAAACCAACTTCTGAAAAAAACTTGCATAAAATGACATTGTATATAATAACTATATTTTGCTTCTTTTGTAATTTAAGACTTCACAAAACACTGACTGATCTGAGGGAAAGGGGTCTAATTTCTATAAGAGAGGGCCAAACTTTTTTCTGGTCACAGACCACCCTAGCTTTTCAGAGATTTGCTGGGGACTGCACTCCAAAAAACCCCAGTGGGATCTCATTTTATCTCACTGGCTTTTACATTTAATTAAAACTAAATAGAATTATGATTGTTCTCCAATTATATATTTAGTCTCCTCTCTTCTCTCACATTAAAAATTAAAATTTGGTAATGAATTTGGAGCTTTCTAGGAGCCATCTCCAAGACTTTGCGGGGGGGGGGGGGGG